CTCAGTGATAGAGCATCGGCTGCGGACTGAAGGGTCCCAGGTTCGATTCCAGAGCTACTGTTTGGCACATGCTGGGGTTGTGGGCTCGATCCCCAGTAGGGAGTGTGCAGGAGGCAGCTGATCAATGATTCTCTCTCATCATTGATGTTTCTCTCCCTCTCCCTTCCTCTCTGAAATAAAAGAAAGAAAGAAAGAAAGGAAGAAAGAAAGAAAGAAAGGAAGAAAGAAAGGAAAGAAAGGAAAGAAAAGAAAGAAAGGAAAGAAAGGAAAGAAAGGAAGAAAGAAAGAAAGAAAGAAAGAAAGAAAGAAAGAAAGAAAGAAAGAAAGAAAGAAAGAAAGAAAGAAAGAAAGAAAGAAAGGAAAGAAAGAAGAAAGAAAGAAAGAAAGAAAGAAAGAAAGAAAGAAAGAAAGAAAGAAAGAAAGAAAGAAAGAAAGAAAGTCATTGAAAAAGCTGAATGGATCATGTGAAACACTTCAGACTTTGGAACTGAGGCAGAAAATTGGGCCCTTTGGCTATCTATGGCTATACTTTAGATGATAAGTGGGCACTGAACACCCAGAATAAATCCTAAACTTGTGAAATTAAAATGTCAATTCTGATTAAACTGCAGACAGTACTGACTAAAGTTAATGGCCATACCTTGACGACTCAACTTGAATCTTCTGATTAGGGTAAGGCTAACTGTAGAGGTGACTACGATTTAGATGGTATACAGGTCTTCACTGTAGGTCTTGGAAGTTAGATATCAGAATTATTTTATGAGTTTTTGAACAGGAAGGAAATTACAAAATTATTCTTTACTCCCAAGTATGTGCCACTGAGGTACCTAAAATACTTGTATTAATCTGTTTCACAGTCATTATCAGAAGGTGAGAACTACTCTGGCTTTCTCATTTTTCATATTCAAAAGCCATGGTGGGTTACAACCACTCTGAGGGTGTATTTGACTGTTTCTGCCAAAGTGGAACATATGCACACCCTGAAACCTAACAATTCCATCCCTAAGTATATGCCCAACAGAAATGCCAACATGTATGTATAGAATGTTCATAGAAACATTTGTCACAATAATCAAAACCTGGAAACTACCCAATGTCCCAAAATAGTAAAACAGTAATAGTAAAACTGTAAGCTCTGTGCTTACAATTCACACAATGGAATGACATATAACAATGAGAATGAAGTCCACAACCACAAGCGGTAATATAAATAAATTCCATGAACATAAGATTGGGTGAAAGAAAGAAGCCAGATACAGGAGTGTGTAACTATATGATTCATTCTGCTTATATGAACTACAAAAACACACCTAACTAATTTCTGCTTTTCAAAGTGAAAATTGTGGTTACCCTTTTGGGGGGGATTGTGGTTTACATGATTGGAAGAGAGCATGAGGGTGGCTTCTGGGTGCTGGTAATGTTCTGTTCAATGATCTGGGTATTTGTTACATTGCTGTTCAGTTTGTGAAAATTTGAGCTATGTATTTATGATATATGTATTTTCTATATGTGCATTATACTGTAACAAAAAGTTAAAAACAACCTCTTCACCAACCACAATAATTACAACTAAAATCCCTAAGTCCCAGATTATTCAACAAATTAATAGTAAAAATAAAAGAAAGTCAGGGCCCTAGCCTGTTTGATCAGTGGATAGAGCATCGGCCTGCGGACTGAAGGGTCCCAGGTTTGATTCTGGTCAAGGGCACATGCCCGGGTTGTGGGCTCAATCCCCAGTAGGGGGAGTGCAGGAGGAGGCTGATAATTGATTTTCTCTCATTATTGATGTTTCTATCTGTCCCTTCTGAAATCAATTTTAAAAAAAAGAAAAAAAGAAAGTCAGGAATATAGGATTCTTGACTTGCAGGTTCATAACACATGTATCAGGTTAGACTAACTCCAGTAAGAGAGTATCTTCAGATCACAAAGACCTACACAGATAAAATTAGTAATATCAGTATATTTTTCTTCTTACTGATAGACTATTGTTTCCTTTGTTAAAAAAAACAAACTACAATTAATTTCTACAGCTCTTTTTATTTACCGTAGTCTATAGTCTGTTCTAGACAGTATCATCACGCACACACTAAAATGTGGTAACTGAGTGTCTAGCAAATTCTGTTAGAGGAAGAAAACAACACCTGAAAATGCAGGAAACCTAAGACAAATATTACCGCTATATCCTGTGTAGTGTTGTCTGAATTTATAGAATAAACTTCTTGACCTGAATGGATGTTTAAATGCAACAAATGGTAAGATCATGGCCCAATATACTTTTGTGAATTAAAATGGACACTTTGGAAACAAACTTAATGTTCTGCAGCTGGCTGTCCCGATTTAAAACATGTAACTTTTGTAACTTTGTGGGAGAGGGAATGCTGGTAGTATCCGATGTCTGAAGTAAATCCGAACTTAGTGACTTTTGGAAACACTGCTTTGAGGTTATTTCCCACCTACATATGACCATTTTTATAAACTGGTTAACCAGGAGCGCAGCTGCAGGAATGTTTGAATGTTTTCTTGTGGCTGGAATTCATTACGAACTTTCTTTGTTATTCCCCAAAAGTTCTTTTATATATGGACTAATTAGTGATGATAACCTAACAATGGCTAAAAATTCCTGATGGAACTGAGACTTTATAAAGCTACAGTGGGGGAAAAACATGTTGATGTCAATCTCCCCTGATACCGTATTAGGTATGACAGGCTACAGAAGTGAATGGAATGAGAGGTTAGGAAATATGAGGCAACTTTCAGGATGGAACCAGAATTCTCTTAATCAAAATAATAATGTGTCTGGTGAAAATACAAATGGACTATAAGTGGAAAAGCACTGAAATCATATTGCCTTATATGGCAATGATTTGTGTGTGTGTTTACATAGGGTATTGCATTTAAAAATGAGGCCTCTTATAATCAGTCTAAGTGGAGGCTTAGCCATTCTAAAAAGCAAAACATAAAACCTTTTACACACTTTACCATATAGCATTAACACACATCTTTTATTTTGGTAAATAACTTCTAATAATCAATGATCAAACTTCCTTCCTGACATTCACAATCTGCACTTACCAATCAGCCATTTTACTTTAAAAAAAAAAAAAAGCCACCTCAAGACAGGCAGCAGCAAGTTGCTGACATGGGCCCTTTATCACCAGGTTGACCCCTGGCTCTCCCAGAAAGACATGCCTGCATCCATTTCTTTTGAGGCTGCTTTGTTCCTCCAGACTATTTGAAATTTAATTTTTAGTCCTGGTATTATTTCCACAACTTAGCCCCTCTAGCCAGTTTTTATGTGGGTGAGGGAAGAGAGCAGGAGAGAAAGCAAACAGTCATGGAAAGAGATTTTTTTAAAATGTAAAATATAAAGTACAGTATTTAATAAAACAAGTGCATGATTATACCATGTTTTAGTTATAGAAGTCAATACTTGTATTATCCAAAGATCATCCTTGACAAAATGTTAAAATGAAGCTGGCTTCTTCCTGTCATCTAGCATCTCTGTCCCTTGCCTATTAGTGCAGACTCAGAGAATGCAAACTAAGTTTAATGTTAGCCTAAGCCAAATATAAATGTGGAGGCAAATCTAATGCTAAATAATTTAAGACAAAAATGGAGGAGAAAAAGGAGGAGGATGGAGAAAAGAGGAGGAGTAGGATCATATGCCTTATCCAAAGCTAAAGATAATTTTGATTTTCTAGTTTACCTTCTATAGAATAATGCTATAATTCTCTGAACATAAATGGTTAAGAATTATTCACTATTTTGTATTTTATGCTACTCAATTCTATTAACCAGATAGGAGATAAAAATGTCCATTAGTAAAAAAAAAAAAAAAGTGCTTTTAAAATGTAAAGTGATTATTATATGGAAGGTTATATATTTATATATTCATACAATTACAGCATTTTCCTATATGCTCACCTCTGACATATCATGCACGAGCAAGAGAGGAATACTTATTGTTGTGATGTCGTGGGTGCAGCAAACCTTGAGGATGTTTCGGAGTCCCATAATGGCAGGATCGCGAGCAGTGATGTTTCCAGATTTCACATTGTCATCCACACAAAGATGAAAAGCAACATGGATTTCTGAGAGATTAGAATGCCGTGTAATGTAAAATTCTCCTGTGAACAACAAATGCAATCATGATTTTCAAATGGCTAAATCACTGCCACCAGTGGAGTGCATAAAGAGCTGGAATGGGCAATCAATGTATCAAACTAGTAGAGGTGAATCAGGAACCTATTTTGGATTCAGGAAGCAATTATGATTACCACTTCTAAATTCTTGGAAAGAAAGTGACGAAAAAAGAAGCAATAGCCAATTTTGCATTAGGTTCATAAATTGGTATGAAGTCACCACCAAGAAGTAAATCAAATGAGTATTCATCATCTCTATGTTGATATCAATGCTCAAAGTGTCCCACTTAACTCAAACTTAACATGTGAAAACAGGTTACTTGCCTACCTGTCATCCCCACAACCTAAACCTGCTCTTTTCCATCTCAATTTATGGCTCTAATTTCTATCCAGTTATTTGCTCAGGATAGAAACACAGAAGTTGCCTTTCATTACTTTTTTTCTCTCAGTGTGTCTGCCCAATCCCCAATCCAATTCACCACCAACTATTTTCAGTAACATCTCCAAAAAATATCTCAAATATGAGCACTCCATTTTTACTGCTATCACCCTAGTTCATGCTACCATCACCTCTCACCTAGGTTTTTGTAATAGCCTCTTAATGAATCTCTCTGTTTCCACTGTTGCCCATAGTGCAGGCAAATGATTTATATGTAAATCATATTATATCAACCCCCCTATGTAAAATCACCCAACAGGCTCACACCACATTCAAAAAAAAGTCCAAATGCTTTACTGTGATCTGCAAGGCCTATATGATTTGGACACTGCCTATCTGTCTGACATCCTCTTGTCTCAACCTCACTCTTCCAGCCCAGCCACACTGGCTTTTGTTCAGCTCTGCAAACATGCATAGCTTGTTCCCAATTCAGGCTGCTTTGTGAAAGGTGTCCCCAAGGTTTTGTACGGCTGACTTTTCATTAATCATGTCTCATATCAAAGGCCACCTCGTTGGAGAGGCCTTCCTTGTCTGTTCCAGGGGCTGGAGGACTTCCTCACCCCTCACTTCTCTTTCAGGCTGTTATGTTTTATTCTATTCCTGGCAGTGAAAGTCTTCATTGTTTATGAGAGTATTTTAAAGAGACCATTTGTTTACACTCAATAACTAGGAATTTTGTCTACCTTGTTTAATGTTCTATCTCTAGCACACAGAAGAGTACCTGGTACACAGAAGGTAGTTAATAAATATTTGTTGAATGAATGGATGAACAAATGTTTTAGATTGAATTTTAGAGCAGTACCTATGGAAATTTAAAATCCATGCTTCCTACAATCATTCCATTTTCTATGTAGCCACATTAATTACAGAATATAAAATCTCATCAGCCTTTGTATTCTGCAGTTTCTGTCATATAAAGAAATAAAATATAAAACATAAAGAATATGTTTGAAAAAATACACATTGTTGCCTGGAAATTCTGATATGTCCTTCTAGGAAAGCTGTGCTCTTCTAAGAAGTATTCTTGTATCACTAACCCCTCCCCCCACACATTCTTCTCACCTTGGCTTCAAAGTCATTATCTCAGGATTTTACTTATACATACTTATAAACAAATAGTATAGTTAAAGGTACTTAATATACTTTAGCACAATGTTTAACCATTTCTAGTTACCAGTGTACACGAATTATACCCATGAACGCCACTGACAGGCCCCAGGCGGTGTTTTTCCTTTTAACTTAAGATAAACGAATTAGATAAGCAGAAAAAGGAATTAAAGAAAAAACAGAGATATAAACATGAAAATAAACTAATCAAATAAAAAGTTAAAAAATTATCTGATGAAAAATAGTTTTGTTACAATTTCCTGGAAGGCAATAAAAGGTACAGGTAGCTTATCAGAAACCTGGAGACAATATCCTTGTGGGTCCAATGAAATGCACTGCCTCCTAAACTCCTCTGAACATTAGGTGATGGAGGTTGTAGCAGGAAATATGGCCATGGTCCAGCAGTGAGGCAGATGACTTAGTGAGCAGTCGCTCCTAACCCCCACATCGCTTTGGGTGACTTTAGAAGACCTGTCACTGGGCCTCATTTTATCCATTAGTAAAGTGGGGGCTGTGGAGCTGGCAGCAGTAATCACAGCAAAATAATATTGTAGAAAAAGGACAAGATTGGGCATTAAAAGAAGATCTGCCTCTAGCACTTATTGGCTGAGTGATCTTGGGTAAAGCAATTCAACTTATAGATCCATCGTACTTCATGTATAAAATGGAAAAAATAATGCCGAATGGCTTTTCTTGCAAAGTATTTGTGAGAATTAGATGATATAGACTGTAAATACTTAGATAATGACAAAGCAAAACTACTAGTTAAAAATTATATGAATAAAATTGTTTTTCTTTGCAACTTAAAAAATTTAAAGCTTTTGTGATTTGGATCTTTTTTCACTCCTGTTTACTTCCTAGCTGTGTAGGCATCCTTTAACTAAATGGAAATTCAGATGCTACCTGTATATCTAGTTGAAGAACTTAATACTCCTTTTTTAATGCAGACTTAATGGCATAGTTTCCTGATTTGGTGGTGTAACGAGATACTAACCTATAGGCTTTTTCCAAAAAGGAACAAGAAAGGAAATAAATATAGCAATGAAGAGGTAAGTTTTGCCCTGGCTGGTTTTTCTCAGTGGTTAGAGCACTGGCTCACAGACAGAAGGGTTGCAGGTTTGATTCCCAGTCAAGGGCACATACTTCAGTTGTGGGTTTCATCCCCAGCTCCGGTTGGGGCGTGTGCAGGAGGCAGCCAATCGGTGTGTCTCACTCACATTGATGTTTATCTCTCTCTCTCTGTCTCTTTCCCTCCCTCTCTCCCTCTTCCCTCCAACTTTCTCTAAAAATCAATGGAAAAAATATCCTCGGGTGAGGATTAACAAAAAGAAAAAAAAAGTTAAGTTAAAACAAAAAACAGACAATGTTACTTCCGGAGATATTAAGATTGGTACATTTTAAGAAAACCACAAAACATGGATAATTTAAATTATGGATCTATGAAGAGAAATATAATGATTCCTGTCTCAATGAAGGTATTTTTAGATAGAGAGGAGGACAGTTTCCTGTTCCACAAAGTGGTGATGCAATCCGGCCTCTAACATTATCCACTAAGGTAGGATATCTGAAGGTGGAAGGAAATTCAGAAGCTGATGACCACAAGTTAACTGACTGGGACTGACAAGGTAATACCAGAAATGGTCATGCTATTTTCCTAGATTAAATGGAATGTAGAAAATCTGGGAAGGAAATGTGAAGAAATAACCTTGGTTATTTATGAAACTGCAAAATATACCATTTAGTTTAAAAGACTTTACACTTATAAAGTAAACAGATAGGCCTTCCTTGTTATGCCCTGTCATACAAACACTATTAAGGATCATCAGAGTGAATTCAATCTGGGATAGAACCAAGAGACTGAATTTCCAGTTTATATACTATATACTCAAGAATAATAAGGAAATTAAAGAAATGGAAAGTAAGAAAGTTGATGGAAAAGTAGAAAGATTCTAAATTAGATGACCCATGTTCTCTCTACAAGTTCAACTGTTTACATTTCTATGTACCATTGTTTAGGTTTCAGAGTAAAATTATTTCTTGGTTCATTAAAGAAACTAAGAAATCAATGTATGAAAGAAGAAATCTAAAATAGCAAATAACAATAAGGCTTATGCAACTGCTTGAGCAAGTTTTCTTATACGGATCTAGAAAACTCAGTACTAGTATAAGATTTAAATTGTAGAACATCTGTGACAGTACAGTATACTATATAGATACGATGCTGTTTTAAAGTGATACACTGACAAACTTTTTATGACGTATGCCATAAGAACTAATGTTTCAAATCTGATTTCAATGTATATGATTATAAGAAAATTGCAATTTGAAATAATACTTACCAGGTAAAATATTTAAATAGTTTCTATCAGCATTTTTAGACTTATCTTCACTTCCTCCATTTCGGTTTCCAGAATCTATTAATAAGATAATGGACCATGTAAGAATATCACAACATATGAAAACACATTACTACTACTATTCCTCAAGCAATCATGACAGCAAACATTTATTAGGCATCTCTAGGTGCCTGGCATTCTGAAGCATGCTTTACATCAGGAGTGGGGAATGTCCAGCCCACAGGCCGCATAAGGCCCACAAAATCATTTGGTCTGGCCCTGCCAAGGCATTAGGAGTGAGTTAATTAAATGTTTAACCAAATATAGCAGGCTAATTTTTAAGTTGATAATTTTGTATGGTCTGTGAATGATGTTATAAATATCCAAATGGCCCTTGGCAGAAAGAAGGTTCCCCACCCCTGCTTTACATGGATGGTCTCATTTAATTCTTATAAAATGCCTATAACCAAACCTTATGAGTTAAGTACTTTTAGTACTTCATTTATATATGAGGAAACAGAGGCTTCATAGGTTAATTAACTTAACCAAGAATTCATGGGTAAGTGGTGGAACCAGGTATTGAACCTACATATACAGATTCCAAATCCTCTGATCTTAACCACATTAGATTTGCCAATACCCTATTTTTCACCTGAGAGGTTCAAGGTACTAAGTTAACAACACATAAAATAACTTCATTAGATAGTTGTCATGTGGCCATCTTTATTTTTAGAATCTGAGTCACTTTTTTTTATATAACTTGTTCAGAATTATAAACAAATGGTTATTAGCACCAGGAATCACTTTGTTACTTATAATTTGACATTATATATAATTTATTTCAAACAGATATGTAAGATCCTTTTTCAAATGGAGCATTTTTTTCAGGTAGTCAATAGCTATTCTTTGTAGAAGGCATGATATTACTTAGAAGGATACATGTTAGTGAAATGAGATACATCACAATTGAACACACATTATTATGAATTATTTTACATATACACATACTTTTAATAGAAGATACATATGAATTTTATAAGAACTCTATCAGAAATCAAGAAAATGCAGAACAAATATTAGCATTCAAAGTAGCTCTTTTTAAGAAGCTGTATATTTTTTTAAAAAGCTGTATATTGATTCCAATTAAATACAAAACTATTTGGAATGGCCTTTGGCATCAGAAAATCACTTGAAAATTCAGAGTCAGAACTTTAAATGAGTAAACTGCAAATACCAAGGGAATATCATGGTTTCAAGAAAGTTCTGAATAAAAATAACTGAATATTTTTACCTAGGGACTACTTTGATGAATTGATTTATAACATCATACCTTGTAAATACATATATTTTATGAATGGACAGAGGGAGAGAGCGGCACAAAGAGAAGGCTCTGTATTGCCAGAATCCATATTTAATGTAATAGTCAGTTTCTCATACAGAGCCATGTAATTGATAGGCTCTTAATACATATCTGATTATAGCACAGAAAACAAAAAAACAATAAGGACTCTAACTTTGTTAACGTAAGGTATGAACAAACAGAATTCCTATTCAGTAAACAAGAGAGAACAGTCCATAGTCCATTTTCCTTTCCATGCTTATTTGTTTTTTAAAAGAAGGAGAGAGAGAGAGAGAGATATGATGTGAGAAACATTCACTGGTTGCCTCTCGTACATGCCTCAATCGGGACTGAACTTGCAACCTAGGTATGTGCCCTGACCGGGAATTGGAGCCATGACCTTTTGGTATATAGGTAAATGCTCCAACCAACTAAGCCACACCGGCCAGGGCTCCCTTTCCATGTTTACTAAGAAAATGACTATTTTTTATTTTTTAAAAATGTATATAAAATATGTAAAAAAAAACATTGTTTTTGTAGGAATATAAAGATAATATAATAAACACAGTAAACAATGAAATGTCTTAGATAAAAAGGTACTTGTGTATCAGGATATAAATGTGTAGAACAAATATGTGGGCATGCACAGAAAAGGAAAAGACAGAGAAAGTATTTTTAAAAAACTCTTCTGTAACAACATGCTAGTCCCTTTAAGAAGGTTGTCTTTTACAAACCTACTTGTTTCACTGACTCACTTAAACCACAAAATAGTTGCTTGAACAAAAACAAAATAGTACCATGATGTACACACATTGCCTTAAGCGTATGTGGTTTAAAAACTTCCTGTCATTTACTGCACACTTGCTATCTCTCACAAATATACTTAGAATCCTCCTTCTCCCACACCTGTCATGATCTCAATCTTCATGTTTTAGTCACTACTAAGAATAATATTAAAATGTTAGTGATCACATCATTGCTAGTTTCGAAAGAGATGGAGGAAGATGGTAGATGAGTAAGAGGGCACACTGAAATTTTCCGAATGGTCCCGGTTAGGATATTCTTCCATACCAATTTCCTAGTACTCAGCCTGACTCTGTCATACACATACTGCCATAGCAAAGCCACAGTTACCTATAGTGAGAATAGAAACTGGTAGAACTTCAATGGACAGTGGATTAAAGGACACTTACATTAATTACAAATGTAAGTGTCCTTTAATCCAGGAATTTCTCCGTAGGAATCTATTCTATAGATATGGTCATACACACACAATGATGTATGTGCAAGGTTATTTATACATTATTACTTACTACAGGCCCGATGCACGAAATTCGTGGAAGAGTAGGCCTTCCTTCCCCTGGCTGCTG